GGAGGCAGAGCAGAAAGGGATGTGGCCACCTGCCCTGGAGGGCCGAGGACGCGGACAGCCATCAGAAGCTAGAAGAGGCCAGAGCGGATTCTCCCCTGGAGGGGACATGGCCCTGTCGACACCTGGGCTTTGCACTTCTGGCCTCCAGAACTGTGAGAGGATAAACTTCTGTTGTCTCACCCCACCCAGTCTGTGGTCATTTGTTACAGCAGCCCCCGGAAGCTAAAGCAGAGGAGGAGCTGGGATCAGAACCCAGGATTATCTGACTCCTTAGCCCCCGCTCTGGCCCCAACACCTCAGGCCCTTCTCCCTCTGATTCCCTGCTGCTCTGCTGCTCTTCCAGAAGCAAGCGATTCCTTCTTTCCACATTAGCTTCCTAACGATTTTCTTTTTCCTGTGAAGGCAGAATCCTGATCCTGTGCTCTCCTTGTCTCCTGACCACCTCCCACAGTGCAAGCTCCCTAAATTCCCCAGTGATGACTTTCAAGGGCTGCACAGCCCTCGACCCTTCCCTGTCACACCTGGAGAAGCTTGCCTCGTCCAGCCAGCTGCAGGAGGAAGGGCTGCAGAAGACTCCTCTAAACCTGCTCCATCATTTTGGCAGGTGGCCCTGACACTGAACTGGTTGGGCCAAGACCCCTCACATCGGCTGCCATGTCATTACCTAGGAGCATCTCTTGTCATTAATCCACCCAGGTGCAGTCCCAGGAAGGCAGGCCCGGCTGGCTTCTCTGAGGCTGTGGGCAGGGTGCTCGGTGAACAGGCGCTCCCAGATCTGCCTCGGGAGGAAACCCCAGCAGCCTCAAGGAAACCCCAAGTGCTCGGCTGCCCTTCACAGCCAGACACCTCAAAGACCTCAGTGGGACCTTCACCTTGCACAAAAGGATGTCAGCCTCTCCTCTGCTTGCTCGAGTACTAAACATCAGAGTGCCCTCTGACAAAAGCCCAAACCCCCTGAGCTGCAGGCCTTACACAATTTACTCACTGAACTCTCCCAATGGCCCTAGGATGCAGGTACCACTATCCCCATTTTACAGACAGGTCAACTGAGGCTCACAGAGGTGAACCAGTAAGGGGCAGTGCTGGGATATGGGCCAAGCAGCCCAGCTCCAGAGTCCACTCTGTCCTTCCCTGAGAGCTGCCATCCATGCCCCCATCCTGTCATCTTCTTTGATGTGTAAAAATGATGCACATCTGGCCTCCCGAGGTACGTGGTCTTAGCTCACCAGCAACTTCAGGGCTCAGACATTCAGCATGTTGTCTCAAATGCCACTTAGGCTAAGATTTTTTTTTAAGAAAAGAGAAATTAGGAAAATGTCTCTGTGCAGCCCATTTATCCACTCCGGACGCTTCCTAGTGCAACCAGACATCTTTCCCCTGACCCCGACACTGTGGTCCCCCAGATCTTTCCATTCAACGTGCCGAGCTCCTCTGGGTGTCTGAACACATCTGCCAGCGTGCTC